ATTATATCATATTATATCATATCGTATTGTATTATATTATAACGCATTGTATTATATCATATCGTATTGTATTATATTACAACGCATTGTACTATATCATATTATAACATATTGTATTGTATTATAACACATTGTATTATATCATATTATAACATATTGTATCATATTGTATTATATTATATTGTATTGTATTACATTACATTAATTATATTATATTACCTTACGTTACCCTACGCTCTGCTACTATAGATTTTACACGATATATTTCTATTATACGTATTCCTTTTATACGATCATCCTGTATTTAAATATATGGCCACATTATCTTTTGGCTTTCCGCTGACGGGTAGAAAGACGCGAGACTCGACAGAACACTGAGTTCCGTAGAAAGGGCGATAAATTCAATTAAACGTCAACTGAATTTTATCGTGTGGGTCTCGCTGAAGGGCGCGACCGACCGCGGCTCGGGGAAAAAAAAAAACAAACCAAAAAACTCGTTAATTCTGCAGGAAAAAAAATAATTGTTGTGAAAGTACTGTGAGTTCTGACTTCTCAGATGCCACTGGGTTTACTCCGTTAAAGAAATAGGGTTTCGAAATTCTATCCCAGCCAAGAGGTGACTCCCCCAGTGTTGAAAAGCACATCTTGGATAATTTTTTAATTATTTGGTAATTTAATGTGCGCTTGAAGAGCACACAGTGATAATTGCACGGATTTACCTGGTTTTGGCTGTCGTAGGACACAGCGTGAGGAGATGGGATTGCTTCTCCGTTCTGCGATACTGTCACCTTCTGAACACTTGAGGTCACCCCCAAGATTTTAATGTCGGTAAACTTCAAGCGGTTTGGATCGGTGTAACCGTCGTGCAAAACCTTTATGTCTAAAACAGTCTAAAGGAAGTAGAAAAAGAAAACGAGTGTTTTACCCATTTTTTTTCCAGCTCACTTCAGGCTTACAATTTTTTCTTCTTCTTCAATTAAAAAAAAAAAAATACATCTCTATGTTGTTATTTATTTTCCAAATGCTGGAGGCTTTGATTTTCCCAGTTCCTCCACCTTGGCAGGGTTCTCCGCTACCAGTGAGGTGCTGAATATTTCCTCTCGTCCCATCGCCCGTTCCTTGGGGGAAGAGACCGACCCCCCTCGCTACATCCTCCTTTCAGGGTGCTGTCGAGAGCGAGGAGGTCTCCCCTCAGCCTCCTCTTCTCCAGCCTGAACACCCCCAGGTCCCTCAGCCGCTCCTCATCAGACGTGTCCTCCAGACCCCTCACAGCTCCATTGCCCTTCTCTGGACACGCTCCAACACCTCAATGTCCTTCGTGTCATGTGAGGGGCCCAAACCTGAACACAGCACTCGAGGTGGGGCCTCACCAGCGCCGAGTACAGGAGGACAATGACTGTCCCAGTCCTGCTGGCCACACTGTTCCTGATACAGGCCAGGATGCCGTTGGCCTTCTTGGCCACCTGGGCACACTGATGGCTCATCTTCAGCCGGCTGTCAGCCAACACCCCCAACTCCCTTTCCACCAGGCAGCTTTCCAACCACTCCTCCCCAAGCCTGTAGCGTCCATGGGGTTGGTGTGACCCATGTGCAGGACCCGGCACTCGGCCTTGTTGAACCTCACACCGTTGGCCTCGGCCCATCGGTCCAACCTGTGCCGATCCCTCAGTAGAGGCTTCCTACCCTCCAGCAGATCGACACTCCCACCCAACTGGGTGTCGTCTGCAATCTTACTGAGGGTGCACTCCATCCCCTTTGCCTAGATCATTGATAAAGATATTAAAGCCCTGGGGAACACCACCTGTGACCGGCCACCAACTGGATTGAACTCCATTCACCACCACTCTCTGGGCACGGTCATCCAGCCAGTTTTTCACCCGGAGAAGGGTACACCCATCCAACCAGTTTCTCACCAAGAATGCTGCGGGGAACAGTGGTGGCGCTCAAAAATTTTTACCGCTAGGGATGCGCAGTCAAAAAAAATTTGGCGACCACAGCTCTACTGGACGCTCATACGTTTATACGCCATTTATTTGAAAGCGCTTTTCTTGGACCTTACTGGGATTCTATTCCAGGTTGGATGTATTTATTTAGTATACAGCCATTTCTTTCTAGTCTGTCCAAGTAAATTTGTGTCCTTTTTGAAATAAAGTGCCATTTTCAGAATGATAAAGGAATTATAACGTCACGGATATAGAACGAATACAGCAATAAGCCAAAATAGGCATCTTCTGAATCCGGCTTCTATTTCTTCTTAACACAGTTTAATCGTATTAATTAATCGCATTACGTTGGAGCCTGGACACAAACCACTCCTAAATTCCTTCCTTTAGAGGAGGAGAATTTGCGGATGGGTGTGTCTGGGATTTTTCCTGTTGAGGTAAAACCCTCACTGATGAAAACCGATGTGCAGACCAAAAAATCTGAACCAACGTCTTTCTTGGAGGTCTGTAGGGTGGGCTGGCCAGCTACTTAATTTAAACACACCTATGTGGAATAACCCCATGGAAGTAAATTAAGTTGCCCCAATGGATTACAAAATTATTTTATCCATCTAGGATATGCATATATTGCTTTTTTTGTGTTTATTTTTAAATCAGTAATTAGAGTAAATCAGTAACCTGCAAAACCTTTCACGATTTGGGTGAGAGCTAGGCCACCGCCGAGGGTTGGTGGCACGCTGGGCTATCGAAACATTTCTTAAAATGCCAAATTAAAACACCTTATTTAGACGCACAACACTAATCACCCTGGGTACGCAAAACCAGCGCGTTATCGCGACATACCCCGTTAGCAGTAAATGACGTCAGCAGGTACGCACCGTCCTCATACGCATCTGTTAAAAAGAAAAAAAAAAAAAGTAAAATGCATTTGGTCTTTGCCTTTATCTTTTTAATTAAATAGAAGAGTTGTTCTGTGTATATAGTAGAGGGATATACATTGTGCAGACTTCCTGCAACGTTCTGGTATGTTAAAAAAAAACCAAACTGGTGCTTATAGTTATTATGAGGTTAGTACACCGTACATGTAAAAGAATTCTAGATATGTCATATCCGAAGATCATTTGAATTTATTAATATACAAGAAATGGGTTAAAGCTTCTCCCTTTATCTATGGTTATTTTCCCCACTGGTTTGAGAAGAAAAATCCGTATTATATATGTTGTCTTAGGTCACAGTTCAATATATGCGAAATATATACTCCATAAATAACAGCTTTATGTTATTATTGTACCACCATTTTACTCATTGGACATTTTATCATTTTTGTTGTTCTACATTTCATCAGTTTCATCATTTTACTGTAATTTTTTTTTTTTTTTTTCTCCCTCCTGGCTCGTGCTCACGCTTCCTGTGCCATGTTGCACAATCGTACAATAATCCCAAAATAAAAATTAACTAAATCGCTAATTAAAAAGTAATGAAAAAAATTAGCAATCCACTCGGCTGAAGAAAGGCAATATTTACGCCTTGTAGACACGGAATTAGTTTAATTTGTCGCGGAAACAGGAAACTTGGTGCTTACCAATGCTCACCCCATCATCCCAGTAAAGCCGACCTTCTGCAAGTTGACTGTCACTCAAAGCGACGGTAAGTGACAACGGATTTTTTCGGCTACGGAGGAAAAAAAAAAAAAAAGAAAAAAAAAGCACATTTTTCTCAGGCAATCACATTTTGTGCTCCTTGAGATTTACGTTATAAACGTTGTGCGCGACGCAATTTATCTCGGTCTTCCCCAATCCCTGGCGTTAACATTTCAAGGAGGCCACAGGGAGGAAACCCCAAAAAAGAGAAGAAAAACTGCCATAAAATTATGGCGCTACCATACATGTCGATTTTCTCAGGACTGCTAACATCTGTACAAAAGGGGGTGATGCTTCCAAGCGTGACGTACATTAAAACAGAAATTTTGAGTTTTCCCAGTTTGAAAATAAGGATTTATTTATTAAAATATATAATGCTCCCCAAAATGCTCTCGCTATGTAATTAATACACGATTTATTTGCCACTAATTATCATCTCCCCTAAAAAAAAAAAGAAAAAAAAACCCTCCCCAAAAAAAGAAGAAATTAAATTTTAATACTTTAGGTCTTTATCATACCTGTGAAATGTCGTAGTAGCGGGGTTTTGCTGAGCAAGGATGTAACCGCCTCGGACATGGAGGTTGATGTGTTCCAAAGGAGATGATAAATTTCTGAATTGGCCCCTAAAGCCAATGTACTTACCATATTTATGATTTAAAAAAAAAAAAAAAAAAAAAAAGAAAAAAAGATAGTCTTTTTGTTGAATTACCCATTTTAAACTTCTCTTTGGGATGAAGGTTTATAAACACATAGGCAAATATTGAGAAAGCTGTCACTGCACATCTTTTTTTAATATATTTTCAAGATTCTAATGTATTAATAATTATAATATATATAATATATTTTAATGTATTTTCAAGATCCAAAACTCTTCGTGTATAAAACAACCGCACAACACCCGACGAATGGAGGGACTTTTAAAGCCTGAGGCCGTAAAATCTGTTTAAAACTTCTGTCCTCCTCCAGTCCATCATTCTTAAAAAAAGAAATTATATGTATCATTGAAGGGTTAAAAAAAAAAAAAAAAAAAAGAAAACATGAAAGCGCGATTACAGATATTATTCCACCTTTTAACTGGTCACGTTGAACCAGATTACATTAAAACAAACTGATCAACATAAAAAAAAAAAAAAAAAATCAGCCACGATGTCATTTTTGACCTTGCTAAAAACTCCTACTGGCCGCGTGTTGGTAAAACAGAGGTGGTGGATTCGCGCTCCACCCCAGCACGCCGCACTCGTGATTAATATTAAAGAAAAAAAGAAATATAATATAGTTTTTAAAATTACTTACTGTGTGGTAATCGTACCAGCGGGCGTTGGGTAGGTAAGCATTCACTGTTACAGCACCCTGGAATTAAACATTTTTGGTTTAAGCCTATTAAAGCCAAAAATTAAAGTTTGAAGTAAGAAGCTCGAGTCAATTCTAATATTTCCATCGATCTCGAATATTTTCCCCCAACTTTTCTAATACTTCACCTTTTCCAGCACAGGGCTGATGAGCAGCGCCGGTCCCCACAGAAATTGTTTGTATATTTCCCACGTCGTTTTGTCTTCCACGAACCTGCGAAGGAACGAGAGAGCGGTCACACCCTCTTTGTGTCAAATTTGCCCCAAACTGTTCCTCGTTGAAGCCTTTTTTCTCAGTAAAACTACCGTTTCCTCGACCAGCAATAGCAGCTCAAGTTTATTACCTATTTATTAATAACAGACAATAATTATTAAAAATTAACGTATTTCATTTACGAAGGTATCAGAATTCCAAATTTAAATTATCAAGAATGTATGAAGATCCTCACGTGAAAACCTTTAGGGAAATACCACCCAATTGTTTAATTTTCATTTCTGCTGCTTCTTCACGCTTGCTGGTCTATTTCTACATGTGTACTAAAACTCATATTTTCTCTATTTAGATCACAAAACTTAAAAATAAATCCATTTTAATTGGCATTAGCAACAGCAAAATGAAGTAGCAGTGCCCCAACTACTTTCTGATTTGTGCTATTTTTATTTTTTTTTTCCCCCACGGCGACTTTGTCGGAAGCAAGTCTCAGATTGGTCAAAATTCGGTCGGGATTCCACGCTGACAATTCAGCGTTTTTTTTAGCGGAAGACAAAGGTTTTTAAATATTATACTTCGTCTTTAATGTTTGGGTATTAAACAGTCTTCTTTTTCAGCGGAAGACAAAATTTTTTAAATATTATACTTCATCTTTAACGTTCGGGTATTAACCAGTCTTCTCTTTTAGCAGAAGACAAAAATTTTTAAATATTATACTTCATCTTTAACGTTCGGGTATTAACCAGTCTTTGACCCCTTCTGACCAGCTACAAAAAAAGGCTCCAAAAAAAATGTCTTTTTTTAAAAAAAAATACCGTTATAAAAACATTTTTCTTTAAAAACTGCTATATGAGTTTAGCCAAAATAAGTTACCTTGCCCTGCAAATGTCTCAAAACGTGTCAAAACCCCTATTTTCTCCCTCTTTTTCTGTTTCTCTGCTTAAAATTTTTGCCCAGCTCTTTTTGCAACAGATGCTCTCGAATTCTGCGTATACCCCAGTACTGGGCAGAACGTTATTTGCTGAATGCCGCTCCGGATGATGAGAACGAGCTTTAAAACTTATATATTGATTAAATTTATAGAGAAGAAAAAAAAAAATCTGGGCATTGCGGGAAACGGAGACCTCGAGCTGCCGCAGCGAGATGACTCCAAACGTGCGTCTTCTCCACCCTTTGCCAGTTTTAAAAGAAAATTCGCGGTAACGGAGGGGAGAACATTTTTTTTTTTTTTTTTAATGAGGATGATGGAAATCCGATGGACTTCAGTGGAAACGCGTTGAAGGAGAAGGAAGAATCACACTTACTCGTGGAGCAGAGGGCGGACGACGGTGCTGCCGTGAGCGTTGGCTTCGTACATCAGCGTGTACAGGTAGGGCAAGAGGGTGTATCTGATATTTAGCACGTGCCTGGAAATGTCTTCGAATGTTGAATTCCAAGCAACGGGATCTTGCCTCTAAGCAAGGGGAAGAAAAAAAAAAAAAGAAAAAAAAAACCACAAAAAAGAGTCTCTCGTTGTTCGAACGGGATAATTTTGTTTGGAAGAGAGAATTTTGTTCGGAAAAGTTAGATCTTGCCTCTAAGCAAGGGAAAAAAAAAAAAAAAAAAAAAAAAAACCAGAAAAAAGAGTCTCTCGTTGTTCGAACGGGATAATTTTGTTTGGAAGAGAGAATTTTGTTCGGAAAAGTTAGATCTTGCCTCTAAGCAAGGGAAAAAAAAAAAAAAAAAAAAAAAAAACCAGAAAAAAGAGTCTCTCGTTGTTCGAACGGGATAATTTTGTTTGGAAGAGAGAATTTTGTTCGGAAAAGTTAGATCTTGCCTCTAAGCAAGGGAAAAAAAAAAAAAAAAAAAAAAAAAACCAGAAAAAAGAGTCTCTCGTTGTTCGAACGGGATAATTTTGTTTGGAAGAGAGAATTTTGTTCGGAAAAGTTAGATCTTGCCTCTAAGCAAGGGAAAAAAAAAAAAAAAAAAAAAAAAAACCAGAAAAAAGAGTCTCTCGTTGTTCGAACGGGATAATTTTGTTTGGAAGAGAGAATTTTGTTCGGAAAAGTTAGATCTTGCCTCTAAGCAAGGGAAAAAAAAAAAAAAAAAAAAAAAAAACCAGAAAAAAGAGTCTCTCGTTGTTCGAACGGGATAATTTTGTTTGGAAGAGAGAATTTTGTTCGGAAAAGTTAGATCTTGCCTCTAAGCAAGGGAAAAAAAAAAAAAAAAAAAAAAAGAGTCTCTCGTTGTTGGAATGGGATAATTTTGTTTGGAAGAGATGGGGGGGGAAAAGACCACATTTCGCATCTTTTTTTGTTTTGTCTTATACATCACCCATAAATTCATATCATTTAGCGGCAGTAAACGTCAAACGCCTCAAAATCGAGCGAGCGAAGCACAGCTGAGGAGATCTGGGTGGACCCTTGAGAATTCCTTGTTCTCCTCTAAATTTGGGTACCTTCATTTATTTTTTCAGGTCTTTAATAAAGGACAAATAGCTCTGCTCCGGAGACCTAAAGCTCTAACGAGGATACAAATGCTGGTTCCCTAATTGCCGTTTTCCCAGTTATTTTATTTTACAGCTTTCTATTATAATAGCCCGCAGACTATAGTCCCGCATTTAGACAGTTATTTTCATTTATTCTTAAAAAAACCCACAATACTTTATGACAGGAGGCGGGCGAAGTGCAGGAATTTTAGATACTCAGGAATCTCATTCCACTGTTCCCTTTTCTAATTTGCTGGAAAGCGATGAACCATTGGGGATGACAATACTGAGGTCAGTTTTGCCCCTTTAAAATGTGTACGGCCATAAAAGTGATTATTTTAGGCTCCTAAGTGTGGTATGTTGAAATAAAAAGCACAAAAAAAAAAGAACTATTTTAGTCTTGTGTCTTGTAGAGTTGGTATGTTTGGTAGCAGTGGAACATGTGAGTAGGAAATATTTTCTTCTTCTAGATGTGGTGTGTTTACCAAAAAACGGCATATATGGGGAATTTAAAAAAAAAAAAAAAGTAGGAAATGGGGAAAATGTGGGAAATAAAAAAACTCAGTCGAAGCAAATGTCGAAGATACCCACCATGGATCCTTTCCCGTTGTGATTCCTCGAATACGGGTAAAAGGCACCCAGCTCCATCCATCGAGCACACAGCTCGTACTCCGAGTCCCCGAAGAAGCCGCAGATATCTGCTCCTGTCTGAAAATTAAAATAAAAATAAAAATATATAAATCCAACGGCAATACTACACATTTTTGTTAGTAAAGATAAGTGAAATAGGAGGCAATAAATTGGGAGCTTACATAAGATATTCCAAAGAGACTGAACTCCATCATACCTGCAAGGAAAAAAAAAAAAAATAAAATTCAATAATAATAACTGCGCTTTACGATGAGGGTTGTGTAGATCGGGCAACTCAAAATGAGAAAAAGTAAAGAATTTCCAGAATTCCCCCAGGAAATGTGGTTCTTAAGAAGCAAAGCAGCAGATTTCAGGCACCAGGGAGAGGATGATGTGAAGGTGACAGGGGATGAATTTGAGGACAATGTGGTGCTCAAACCCACGCAATCAAACCCAATTCCTGTAGAAACCATAAGGACTTTCTTAACAGGTGATAAGAAGAAAAGAGGTCAAGAAGAAATTGGCTGTAAATTCTGATTGCTCAACTGAGTGGACCATTTTAGCTAAAAAAAATGTAATTATTAGGAAGGAAACCAAGAAGAACCGTGGAATAAATTGGTCATAGGTTGCGTCGGCGTACCGATGATGGATTTATCAAGCTGATTCCAGGCTGCGGTGTTGTCCCCCAGCCAATGTCCTGACCATTTCCCACTGCTGGGGTAGGTTGAACGGGTGACGATGATTCCTCGCTCCTTTGTGAGATTCCGCAAAGCGCTGGGATTACATGTGGGAGCAGAAACCAACGGGATGAGAACTATGATAATTGTAAAAGGTCTTACGCACGACTCCAAAAATAAAATTGGTGGTTCATATTTCTGCAGGAAAGCGCTGCTGTGCTGTCCTTGTGAGCACAAGCAGCTGCAAACCCAATCGAGATGTGTTTTTTATTGGAATTATTTTATTGGGCCGAGGCCAACGGTGTGAGGTTCAACAAGGCCGAGTGCCGGGTCCTGCACATGGGTCACACCAACCCCATGGACGCTACAGGCTTGGGGAGGAGTGGTTGGAAAGCTGCCTGGTGGAAAGGGAGTTGGGGGTGTTGGCTGACAGCCGGCTGAAGATGAGCCATCAGTGTGCCCAGGTGGCCAAGAAGGCCAACGGCATCCTGGCCTGTATCAGGAACAGTGTGGCCAGCAGGACTGGGACAGTGATTGTCCTCCTGTACTCAGCACTGGTGAGGCCCCACCTCAAGTGTTGTGTTCAGGTTTGGGCCCCTCACGACAAGAAGGACATTGAGGTGTTGGAGCGTGTCCAGAGAAGGGCAACGGAGCTGTGAGGGGTCTGGAGGACACGTCTGATGAGGAGCGGCTGAGGGACCTGGGGGTGTTCAGGCTGGAGAAGAGGAGGCTGAGGGGAGACCTCCTCGCTCTCGACAGCACCCTGAAAGGAGGATGTAGCGAGGGGGGTCGGTCTCTTCCCCCAAGGAACGGGCGATGGGATGAGAGGAAATATTCAGCACCTCACTGGTAGCAGAGAAGCCTGCCAAGGTGGAGGAACTGGGAAAATCAAAGCCTCCAGCATTTGGAAAATAAATAACAACATAGAGATGTATTTTTTTTTTTTTAATTGAAGAAGAAGAAAAAATTGTAAGCCTGAAGTGAGCTGGGCGGGTTAGCGGTGGGTTCGGCAGCATTGGGTCGATGGTTGGACTTGCTGATCTCAAAGGTCCCTTCCAACCTTATTATTATTATAATAAGGATCTCATCAATGCTTATCAATACTCAAAGGGAGGGTGCCAGGGGGATGGGACCAGTACTTTTTCAGCGGTGCCCAGCGATGGACAAGAGGGAACGGGCACAAACGTGACCGTAGGAAGTTCCATCTCAACCTGAGGAGGGCCTTCTCTCCCGTGAGGGTGGCAGAGCAGTGGCACAGGCTGCCCAGAGAGGTGGGGGAGTCTCCCCCTCTGGAGCCATCCCAAACCCGCCTGGACGCCGTCCTGTGCCACTGCTGGAGGTGCCCCTGCTCTGCTGGGGCGGTTGGACTAGATGATCTCCAGAGGTCCCTTCCAACCCTGACCAGTCTGGGGTTCTGTAATTGCTTTGGATTGATTAATCAAAGTGTTCGGAACCGTTCTCTGCTGTGCCTTGTAAGGGACAGAAGGGTGTTTTCGGGGTGGGATTATTCCGATTTTTCTGAGTCGAAGAACTGAAGCTATTCAGGTGAAAAGAAAAATTATGAGGGGAAAAAAAAATATGATTTCTGGCGAATAAACTCCTGAAGCATTTCGTCATGAGAATACAGACATTGACTACTAATGTGCGATGAGTTTTAGAAAGAGTGGAGAATAAAAAAAAAAAAAAAGGCAACTTACTCGAGCGTAGGTTTTGTTTGTGACCATCCATAAAGGTTGTGGACATCGTAGTGTCTGACGGGGGAACCATCTGGGAGATATTGTTGACCTTCCATGCACAGCGTTTTGAAAGCCAGTCCCTCTGATCTGGACCCTAACTCTATGGGGAAGGGAGTGAAGACACTTGGATTTTAACACTTCGCGTCCAGTAAGAATTTTAATGAGTTACTTTTTTTTTATATATATTTATTAATTTGCGTAATCTTGATTGGCGTTCACTTCCTTTTAAGTGTTTATGGGCTCATTTATTTCATTTTAATTAAAACAGCATTTTAGGTTTTCTGAGGTTGGCTTTCAGAAACTTAGGGAACGCCGAATTTTGACTTCATAAATTCAGGAAGTTCCGAAATTCCGGATTCTGTGTAACTATCTGGGTCTGCAAGAGCAGCAGTACCCTCAATTATAGATGCTCTTACTGGAGAGGATCAAAGAGTAAAAGAATATGTCGTAACTCAGAAAATATTGCAAACCTTTATAAATACTACCATACCAGCCACATACACAGAAAACTTGGGGGGAAAACCTGTTTCTGAGTACTCTGAGAAATGATATTTAAACACATCAGGAAGCAGCAGAAGTGTTCTGATAAAGCATTAGTGAGTTACTGCCAATTAGTACCACTCTACACCAGTACTCGAGTAAAGCCCCTGATACGAAGGGCGAGTATTTCAAGACCATTCCTCAAATTAGGCCTCATAATTTTACAAATAATTATTATTAAATCAGAGGAGGCACAAGGATATTTTTGCAAGTTTTAGTCATTAGTTCCATTTTTCCTCTGGGAAAACGATGCAAAACCCTGAAAGCCATATTCTTGACCGTGTCGGAAGTAAATTCCCTATAGAAAATTGATACCAAAATCCAGCAAAAAAAAAAAAAAAAAAGAAAAATTATCTTAACTTTCAGAAGTGCCACGTAGTCATTGTTCTCCCCAACAAAGACGGACGTTAAGAACGTCGACCATCTCCAAGAATTGGGTGACTTTCTCTCAGGGCTACCAAATTTCAGGCAGTTATGCCACACGTAGCGTATAAGAAGTTCTATACAAATCGGAGCGACCCAAAATATTTAAATTGTTTGCCGCGACCATCAGACTTACGGGGTACGTATGGCGGAAAGTTCAGCTCTTGGTTTCTACAGCCGCTGACGGAGCCATGAACAAAGCTTGAAGGTTCGTTCATGTCCTGAAAACACAAAGCAGAATGCCAGATGAACGGAGTTTCTCTTAAATTCGGGCAACCGGTTCCTCTCAGCTATTTTAGCTTTCCCCCCCCTCACTCACCCAGTAAATAAAACAAACGGGAAGAAAAACCTCAGATTTTTCAGAACCGCCCATTGCGTTTACTTTTTTTTTTTTAAATCAGTATAAAACAACGGTTCGACAGATAAATTTTTCTGGCAAGCAATTCCCTTCATAGACAGGTTGGGAATATCTCATTTCCCAGAGGGTAAAGCATCGAATTCATAGAGATTAACCAAAGGCAGAAGCTTCGTTTTTAAGAACTTCTTATTTATCGCTCATATTTCCTGCAAAGGGAAGTTTTTTCCTTTGTGTAAAATTGAAACCAATAAAGAAAACAGAGCTACAGATCCGCAAATTACTAAAATCTCTGAACTTCGTAACGGTGGCTCCTGTTTCTAGATGTTTTGGGGGGTTCTAGAGGAATATATTAGTATTTAAGAGATTCTACAGCTATTGCGAGTCCACTTCATTTAAGAAGCAAAGTAAACCTGTTGTTCATCTCATTTTGTCTCACACAAGTAATAATGGTAAAAAAAATAGTCTCTCATGGGGGGGAAAAAAAAAAATAAAAAAAAGGACTTTAGGAAGTTTTAGAAGAACACCACCACTGCGAAAGAGCCGCTAGATGGGTGAAAAGTTTATAACGAGGATCTGAGAAAGTAAGATTTTTTCAACAGGCAAAATAAAAAGAAGAAATAATGTTGACAAGAAGGATTTTTGAATTTCAGACGACCATTCATGACATTTAGCGTTAAACGCCCGTGTCCCTCCTCCCTTGGCGGCATCGAGACATCATTGGGTTTTGAGGTGTTGAGAACCAACCTCAGGTTGAAAAGATGCAGCAAAACCTGAGGTGGAATAATTTTTTGACACTTACGATCCATAGACCATCAAACTTCAAGCTTCTCGATGCGTTGTGTGGATTGTTGTAGACTTCGGTGATTTCTCTCGTCCACCATTCCGTTGTGGAATTGCGGAAGAAATCTGGAAAAGCTGTATACGCTCGGTAGAGCTGTAGAAGTAGTAAAAACAACAACAAAAAAATAATGAATAAAGCATAGACACAGGACTGAAAGTATCCCACTGCTAAAACGTTGGAATTTGTTCTTAAATAATTCACGGCTTTGCTACAGTTTTTAGATGTTCTGGCAGAAAGGCTCTACCGTTACTGCAGCTCACACTGATGTTAGAGTTTTTTGATGTTCTGGTAAAAAAAAAAAGGTTACTTTCTGCATCCGACTTCTTAGATTGACATTTTCCAGCCAGTTCACTGCTATAATTCTTAACGGATTTGCTGCTTCTTCTCTACTTGTGTCAGTCACCCCAAAAATATCGACATTTACCTCCACCTGGGTGTCCCAATCCAGCGAGTCATTAACTTCTACGTTGGGAAAATCCGGCCAGACCTAGTAGGAGGAAGGAGACGTTAAAAGAATTGAATTAAACCAGATTTAAAAAATTAAGTATTAACAGCAACAAAGCTTCTTGTTCGCTTTTTCCGACGGCGACGCAAACTGAAGACATTTCCATTTGTAGCACTCAACGAGTCAACCAAGTTTGGGAATGGACGCCATGTTTGAAGTCTTCTCCCCGACGTCTAACCTGGCATGATGCTTATTTGGGGTAAAATAATCAGCTTTTTAAGAACAGTACCTTTGCGTAGATAATGTCATTGGTATTGGGCCATTTTATGAAGACGTCCTTCTCCAAACCTCTCGTGAAGGCGGGGTAATCGGTTTCATTACCAGATATGGCTGGATCCTAAAAATTAAAGATAACACAATTTTGCTTGTCTGTTCAAAAGACAAGTGCAGAAGCGTTGTCAAATGCGTTCTGTATTCTGCAATGAGATGCTGTAATTTAAAACGGGAATTCGACGCTCACCAGGATTGGGATAAACCTCATCCCTTCACTTCGTATTTTATCAATGAGAGCCGGTAATCCAGCGAAGCGTGGGTTCAGGGTGAAGTCCAGTTGCCGTTCCATGTAATCAATATCTGCATACTGGACATCCTACAGTTCACACACACAGAGAAAAAAAAATAAAGTGCTTTTTTTTTTTTTTTCTAGTCATTTCCTGAGTGACATCATCCATCAGCAAATTCGTCACCCGTCTGCAAAATTGGGCAAACTACTGCTTTTTTTTTTTTTTTTTTAATATTTAAAATTGGAATCTGCTGCGGCTTAAAAGCTCAGGTTATCAGACGAACACGCTTCCACAACCTATTCAGCTTTCACCGTCGTATTTATTCTGAAAGGAGAAATTCAAGGGGAAAAAAAAAAAGTGGTCCTGGATTATTCCATATGCATAAATATATGTCGATATATACATTGTCTGTGTACATGTTACTGCACGCCGCCCTGCAACAAGGGAATCGGTTGCTCCATACAGAAACAATTTGACGTTAATGACCTCTAAAATGAAAGCCATGCCTAATTGAGGTATAATTTTGTTAAGTCTAAAGCTTTTGCAACTTTTTCCGAAAACAAGCCACGCCAAAAAGTAGCTTTCTCAGCACTTTTCTCAGCCAACGAATCACGAAGTTGCTTTCTTTTCTTTCCTTGTGAAGCGCACGGAAAAGTTGAACGATGGCATTAATCACAGCATTTCTTTATACTGTTTTAAATCAGACAATACCCCCGAAGCCAAAAATTCAAGCGCCGTCACAAGCTTTAATGACTCTCAACGTACGTGGGGTATCATGGCTGCTTTCATGTCGTCCACCAAATTGGCAATTTCGGTGTCGTTTTCATATCCATAGCGGCATAACTGGAATCCCAGTGCCCAGTAAGGTGGCATGACCGGTCGCCCGACCAGCTAAAAATGAAAATGCAAATAATGAAAAAACAGAATGAAAGGAAGCAAAGCGAAACAAATTAAAAAAAAAAAATTAAAAAAAGCAAAGCACACCAAAACAACAGCAACAAAAAAACCCAACCCAACCCAACCGCTTTGAATTTGCAACAGGAGAATCGTACCGCGGTGTATTCCTGCACGACGAGCTCCGGTGTTGGGCCCAAAACCATGTAAAAGTCCAGAATTCCCCCAATTGTGCGATAGGTCAGAGCAGGTGTGGGCTGGAAGGTCACATCTAAAAAACACAGGCAGTGCAAGAAGGGTAAGGCAAAAACTGACCATTGAAGTAAAACACTTTGAGAAAATACAGTGAATTTTTATTTTTTTTTATTATTTTTTTTTTTTTTACCCATTGCGTTGCTGTTAAGCAAGAGAACTCCGTGGGCGTTGCCATCCTCTTCAAGACCCATGTAGAACGGCTGGAAACCATAGGAATTCAACTTGTACTGCGAAAGAAATTAAGTATTTTCTATTGGAAAGACATCGCAAGCGCTCGGTTATTTGCGTCTACCAATAAGTTATCCATTAAAAACGAGAAGGTTAATAAATGATCAGAGACACAACTGCCCAGCACGCAACGAAGAATGTTGCCTATTGGACGTCCAACGGTAAATGTTGAGCAGGAGCGACGATTTTCAGCTTCAAATGGGTCAATCGGTTCCCGATTGCGTAAGGCAGGGAGGGACGAAAACGTAGTTCTAGATTTAAAAGCTGCGAATATGACATCGCTTCCCTAGGAGAACGCTTTCTCTTCTTTTCAAGTATTTCCAGGAAGCCTTTATCATCAGGACAAGCCGGTGACTTTCTCTCCTTTTTCATTTACTTGAAATGTTTCAAGTTTACAACTTGTAGCTATAATAAGGCACCGCTGTTCCGTGACCAATCCCTTGCGAATTGCCGTTATTTCTGTTCCGTGAAAACCAATACCTGGGCGTGCTCGAAGGTAAAAACCTTTTCATTTGACTCTGTAAGTCCTTATTGAATCCCAAAGTTGTGGGACATTGCCTAGGTCTGACCCAGGAGAAAAGATCATAGAATCGTAGAATAGTTTGGATTGGAAGGGACAGTTCTAGTCATCCAGGGCCATCTAGTCCCACCTCCCTGCTCTGGGAAGGGACACCTTCCACTAGCGGAGGTTACTCCAAGCCCCGTCCAACCTGGCCTTGAACACCTCTAGGCATGGGGCAGCCACAGCTCCTCTGGGCCCACCACCAGTGTCCCACCACCCTCACGGTCAACGATTTCTTCCTCAGGTCTCATCTCAATCTCATGTCTTCCAGTTTGAAGCCATCACCCCTCGTCCCATGGCTCCCCTCCCTGATCCAGAGTTCCTCCCCAGCTCTCCTGGAGCCCCTTTAGGCACTGGAAGGGACTCTGAGGTCCGTGTGGAGCCTTCTCTTCTCCAGGCTCAACCCCCACAACTCTCCCAGCCTGTCCTCCCAGCAGAGGGGCTCCAGCCCTCGGTGGTGTCCTCTGGCCCCACTCCAACAGCTCCGTGTCCTTCTGCTGTTGGGACCCCCCGAGCTGGAGGCAGCACTGCAGGGGGGTCTCCCCAGAGCAGAGCGCAGCAGAGGGGCACAATCCCCCCCTCGCCCTGCTGGCCACGCTGCTGGGGGTGCAGCCTGGGATGACAGTGACTTTCTGGGCCACCAGCGCCCATTGCCGACTCGTGGTGAGCTTCTCACCCACCAACACCTCCGAGTCCTTCTCCTCAAGGCTGCTCTCCAGCCATTCTCCACCCAACCTTTATGTGTGCCAGGGGTTGCCCCAGCCCATGTGCAGGATTGGGTATCTCCATGGTCAATCAACACGGGTTGACACAAAGCAAAAAAAAACAGAAATTCCAGGGGGGAAAAAAGCAAAATGGGGATTTTTTTTTTCCCCCCTTCCCCCCGCCT